TTAGCGACCATTCAGAGTCTCTTAGTTCGTTTTGACTCACCTAATTTTCACTTTCTTATCTGAATTTTATAAATAAAATTTTTGAAATAATTCCTGGCTAGCATGAAATTAATATTATTGAAAGGAAACGGCTCATTTCCCTTTTTCGTCCAATCTTTGAAATCCACCGTGATATTCAGGAAAATACATTGCTAAATTCAACCTCAATCCAGCTCTACTCCTTTACAAACCTTCTCCCTAAGATTAGCTTGATTGAAACTTACCGAATCTAACTCTTTTTACCAAATTTCAATGCCGTTATAACGTTTGATAGTCCTTTCTGATTGCTAAACCATAAAACTCTTTTTTACTGTAAAAATTATTTTATTATCTTAAACTCTCCTTAAAACTGTAGACTCCTGGTAAAATTTGGAAGATAATGAAACGTTGGGGGTTTGGTTATCGGTTTCACTGACCAGGCAACTTTATTTACTGTTGAAATTTTGGTCCTAAAACGTAATTGTAATTAATTCAAAAATGTTCTTTCCCAAAAACGATGTAGTCTGTTGCCCGTAATATGCTCGCGTTGACTGATCCGCAACGAGATATTGAGCGTATAAAAACTTCTCCGTTCAAAACTAGGCAAGGGTTCTTCTTACCGCGTTGATTCGGGAAAGTTTAATTCATAAACGGTAAAAAATACATGCAAGACTACTCGGTTTTAATTACCTATAGCTTGAGCTCTTTAAGGATTTTTAAGAAAATGTCTTATTTAACTTAGTAAGAATCAAGTTGCAGTTATTTTTCATAAAGATTTAAACCTTTAATTTCCCTTAACTTCCCAATCGCCCTTTGTGAGTACCCTCCTCCGACAATTTTGTTCTTGAAGTATAAGGAATGTAACGATTAATTTCCTTCATTACAAAGCATTATTATAGTTTACGGTTGAAAGATCCCTTAACTTTTGTAGCCTTTTGATAGATGGCTCCATCTATTGTTGGAATTTGACAACGCCATTTTTCGACGCATTTGACAGCGCATTTTCTTGCCTTTATTAGTGTGTGCCGATTTTCATCTTTCTTTCGTGAGTTAGAACGCATGGAATTCTAATTGCCATAATCCATATCTCTGGCGATTGGATTCATAATTGGGGATTCCGCAGTATTGTAGGACGGGATTCACCTACATAACTTCTATAGTGAAAATATAATTTGCGTTCTTCCTTTCTTATCGTAAGTACCACCATTTGCATTTCGTGTACTCAGAGTATACCCGGCTTTAGGTTTCGGCTCATATTTGCGTACCCCAATTTCCATTCTACGATTAGACCTCTTATCTAAGAGGGATGTAAATTTTAGGTTATGAAAGAAGGATCGCCTTAGATTTCTTTTGGAGTTTGAATTGTTAGTACTCGTTTAAGGACCAGTTCAATTTTAATTTTAAGTATCAGTATAAATTCCGAATACGTCTCACTGTACTTACAATTCTTGTTCGACATACGAGTGTGGTAACCTTGGATTAAGTCCACCATTACCTGGGAGTGCCGACACCTTTGACATATCTTTCCACCTGCACAACGGGTCATGGAGGAGATTTGAGATTCGATCCTTAACAGAGGAACAACTTCCGTAACTTTAGCGCTTTAGTTAATAAAAATTTTTGCCCCTTCAGGCTCATATGCGATTACATTCAAACTCATCAGTACCTATTTAGTATCTTTGCCATCTCGGTTAAGATATGATCGAGTTTGAAACGCGAATGTTGTTGGGGACCACCAATTCCTCCTGAAGAGTTTGCCCAATTAAGTACCGTACCTGGTATAGAAACAGATTACGAGTAGAGTGAGGCCTTTCAGGCACTATTTAACTAATTATATACCGAGCCCTGCGGCTTGGGACGTTTTCAGATTGTCCAAAACGAATTACCGCTGTGGAAGATCTCAAGCCCTTATTTTGTGTTCCAACCCTGAGCTAGTTAGCCGTTTATGCGGCGGATTTGAGCAAACGCAGCGTACATTGCCAACCGTTATAGGAGTTATATCCGATCACGATAAGGGATCGAGGAGGATATGATTGGTAAAAATTAATTCTTTTCCTTAAGACCCTTCATTAGAGTACCATGAAGGATGAAACAAGTTCCACCTCACAAACCCCCTCTTTTGATAAGGGGCCAGAAGGAATGGAGGTAGCTGGTAGGAAACAGTTTCTTTTGTTGATACATTTAATTAAAATACCATGAAGGATAATTTCAACCCCCCTCTCTCCATCTCCCAATGATATCGAAAAGGAGTCGCGCGGGCAAGTGTGTAGGTACAAGCCAATTCATTTCGATGAGAGTCTTCATTAGAATACCCTGAACGGTAGAACGTGTACCAGTACCAGATGGCGGCACAGTCGTTGATACCGCTGATGCATAGATTTAAAATGTAATAGACAAACTGATAATAAAAGACTTCATAAACTGGGTTTACCCTTATATAATAAACTGCTTTCGAACAGAAGGCTGAAACTTTCTATGACGGCACCTTATAATTCGATTACCCTTACCAGCCCACCCTAATACCCCACTTTTAAAACAAACTTCTTCCAATTTCATCATTCTTGCTTACCTACTACCTAGAGAAACCTGACTTTTTAAAGAAATCACCCGAGAACCAAGAGCCACACAGAATCTTTTAATAATAATTAATCTTATTTTAGGAGAACTTGGTAGGAAATTGGACAGACTTGGAATGAAAGTAAAAAACGGTGATAGTAATACGGGGAAAGCTTCAAAGTAGTTTGGGAGTGTTTTAAAAACAGTTTGAGGACCTTAAGAGCGACGTGTCAGGAAATTAAGAGAAGGAAGGGAACATGGGTAGAACCTGATAAGTACCTGACGAGTTTAAGGGGAGGAAATTGAAGGATAAAAGAGAAACTGTAGTGTTGATAATAAAAATCGGTTTCCATATTGAGGCGTCCGTTTGGTTGGTTTGCGGAAAATAATTGGAAAATTACCGTAATGCCGCTTGTGGAATTTAATAATCGGTTCCTTTCACATAGTTCTTTGTTTCGTCAACCAAGGCCCTGCAGTGTCCCCCGTGGTATTTTTGGCTCTCCCATCTTAAATTTCTTTTCTCGCAGTGAAGTATCTGCCTTTGAGTTGATTAGATACAAATGGTTGTACGCCATTACTTTTCTGACTTCGCGTCTACCTGAAAAGAGATTTACCATATTAATCTTTGGAGTGGTTTCTCTTTCTCTCTTTGATGCCTGTGGTGGCTCCATTACAACGTTTTTACGGATCTGCATTTCCATATTAACAATACGTGGGTTTTACCGTCACTCATACTCAACTCTTCCCTCAAAGTTCCCTTTTGGATTACCTTTTACGTTGATTTACCTGGATTTTACTTACGACCCCCGCAGTAAGTTGATGATATAGCATTTCTACTTGGATCCGCCATTTTGGTTAGGTTAGTACAGGCGGACGACACGCGATAGATGGAGTTTCTACATTCCCGGCTTGGAAATTCTACCTACAATAACCATATGAATCTACTTCATTCTGTCAACATTAATCTCTACACTTCGAATTTTATACCTGGAGATTTCAAGACAGTTTCTATAACTGTTAGCATTTACGAAACCTTGGAAATTGTTACTGTTGTAGATCGCTTTATGAAAAATAGGCGACGGATCGTGCACGTTGAAATCTCGCCGACGGTAACATGAAACTTCTTTTAATTTTCAAATGATTTCTCGGAATTCTGTCTTTTCTGGTGTATACTTGTATGTTGTAAATTACGAGCAAACCACCATTTTATTAACAATCTAATCTAAAATCCAATCTGATGGTTCACACTCTATTAAGTGTCCCACACTGGTAGCAACGGCTTTCCAAACGCGAATCTTTTCCAAATTCTATCAGAAATCATGCGATACTATTGGCTCTACTACGATCAAGACAACTGCTGCCCCTTTTTAGTATCACCTGTATAAGTAAGACCGCCATGGTTTTTTTTAATTGTGGAAATCGAACTCTCGAAATCTTGTTGATTCATTTCCTCCTGATCAAGAGAATGATCTAATGCTGAGCTAGCAATTGTGACCCAATACATTTAGAAAAAGAAAATGATATAAATCGCGGATATAATTAAACGGTGGAAAAAACGCACCACGTCTGCGCTCCACCATGAACATCATTTATTTGGACAACTATACTTTAACGCCATCATATTTTATGCTTCCGTAGAAAATTAAAAAAGTTAATATTTGAAAGCCTGCAGGAGAATGTTTATTTCGTTTATTTTTCTTTTAGGAATAACAAGATTTTTTCTTCGAAGCGAGTTATCCCGTTACCACCTGTAATTTATTGTGGTAAGGGTTAGCCACAACACGGCTGCGGTGAAAAATCCCATCCCCGAGCTGAACATAGAGGCATACAAGTAGGTAGTTAAAGTTCCAGCAGCCATTTTGTAAGGGATCCTCAAAGTTTTTTCATCGATTTGAAAGCGAATTACTTGAAAAACAAGAAAAGCTCTTGTACTAAATCATAACTGTCAATGAAATTAAGGATGGCATTTCAGAAGTAACAATACGGTTAAGCAATTTTCAAGAACCGCAGCATTTATCTACGTCAGTACTGCATGAATCAAAGAGGACGCAAAACGCACGCATTTATCATGGTAATGAAAAGGTTCGCGCCCCGTTCTCCTGACAGTTTTCCAATTTATTTGGGTAGATCTCCTAAGAAACCTATCACCTTAAGTACATTATAAAAATACTGTTCCACTCGGTTCGCATTAGATCAATATCGCGCTCCTGTAACTCAAAATTTGAGGTAATTTAGCGCCCGAGGACGTGCTGACCATGCGAATTTCCAACACAATACGCAACATCATCGCAAGACGTAATCGCCCATTATTTTAATAATGAACCAAAAAAATCGTAATCACCTCGTATTGGTCGCGCGTTTGCGCCGTTACCGGCAGCTTTCGGGCTTCCGCTGAAAGCTCCCGTAAAATCCAGTCTGCAGCTTACGTTTTGAAACGAGGTCGCGTTTTCGCATACGCGCACTCGGAACGTTAATGGTGCGTGTTTTATTGCTTATTTATTTACCGCTAACAAATTGATAAACGGCACGCGAACGCCTATAACGTAATTATGACGGACAGGGCACGCGACCCCACTAACGAATTATAGAGTGCGAGATTTTAGGCCGGACGTAGCTAAATTGAACCAGAAAAATTCTGCCAAACAGATCAGGTAAGGTGACTTGAATTTTCCCATGGCGACCGACGCTGCGGAGCATCTGTTGTTTTCGCAATGAAAAAAAAACGCACTTCCTGTGGACCGGGCGAGTACATAAGTGTTTCACTTAGCGTGGGAAAAATGATTTAGCCGTGTCCTTATTGATTATTTACAAGCAAAACCAATTGTTGCATGTCTCTGATTTGGAGTTTGTACACAATTGGGGCGGTACTTTGTTATTGTTACAAAGACAGGGGACAAATTAGCCCTTATCTTTTTGTTGCATTGTTGTAAATGGTGGGGTCAGTTTGGGTTTACACACGAGCCACAATAGAGGCCCAAGACTTGGTGGCCCTAGGTGATATTATTGTAGAGAAGGCTTTTGCTCCAGAAACTTATGAAACTTTACTACGAATTTTCAGATAGTGACATTAATTATGTGAGTTGTTGCCCTTTGATGTTAATTATTGAACTAAATCAGAAAACTGGATTTTCTCGGTCAAAGTAGAGAGAGTATGTTGGATGATAAGTTTTTAAATATTTTTCCATTGATTGAGGTTCACATTTCACAAAGAAAAAAGGAAAAATCCTCCCGAGTTCCTTGAATATGAAACAAGAAATATCACAACATTCATTTCAAAACGAACCACTAAAAAGAATTGCAAAAAAACGTCCAATTAGGTATAGCCTAGGGGGAAGCTTCATGAAAGATTTGCCTTAGTTTACCCCCAATTGCCCCTACTTTAAGTTATAATTTACAGCGCCCATCATTTTAAAGATGATAACATTGTACATTACAAAATCACCCTCAAATCAAGTTTCGATCCTTCACCTGGGCGTCTTTTTGCAATTTTTGTTTTTGATCAAAATCACAAATTAGAATCGGTGGCTCCTTTCATTTTTATAGTCGAATTAATAAGGTTGAACATTTTTTGCTAGTCTAAAGGAAATTCCATGATTAGGAACTCATAGATAACAACTTCGAAACTTTAGAGTAATTTACAATGAACATGAGAAGAGTAGGTAATGAATTCTTGGGGAAACTTGAAAGGAATTTAATGGGAACGTGGAGAAATACCTCGGGAATTTGAAAAGGAATGACGAACTTGAAAACCATTGCAGGGAAACATAACTGAAAATTGAGTACATACTTGGATGAGAGGTGACGAAGAGGCGGAACTTGAGAAGAACAATACTCTTGTGAGAAATGTGGTGTAAATGTGTAAGAAACTAAAGAAGAACTACAGAGCAATGTACGTAGGAACAGCGTAGGAGAAAGAAAGGAGATTAAGGGCAGTATGAAAGGAAGAGAAAAGGAAAAATGGAAGAAAGGATTACATTAACTAACAACAGGAAACATTTAATTATTTCTCGAGGTGGAGTTTTTGAAAGTAAAACGTGCATAACTTATGTACATTCGACAACCAATTTGTCTGAGATTTTGCGTACCCTTTCCTTTAGGGGGGAGGGGGGAAGAAATTAGTTTAATCTGTTCTCTACTAACTCCCACCCTCCTCTCTTACCCCTTTTCAAACATGGCGTGAGGGGCATTGCCTTTATTTTTAATGGTATCCTAATGTGGTGAATTAGAAGTGTTGGATGGGAGTACTCATAAAGGGAAAATGGAACGTCAGGACGGGAGACATCTACTGGTGATGTCAACACTTTTAGTACTAATATCTGCAGAACGTAGTGTCGGAGGAGGGTACTGTCAAAGAGCGGAAAGATCGTCTAAACACATCCATTGGCAATGTGAAGACTTAATTATGGATATCTCAAGGGAAAAGGGAAAAGCAACATTTTGGAGAATTTTTTTAAAATGTAAACGGGATCATAGGATGAGGTCGCCTGATTTTTTGAAAATTTATTCCATTCTTATCATTTGAAGACTACGTAATAATTATTTACATAGTGATGAAATTATCGGACCTTCTTTATCGAAAAATCGTATGGGAAGTGGTACTTTTTTTCACGATTTTTACTATGCGTTTCCATGGAGTTTAGTCCTGTCTATGAACAATATCATCCATTTTTGAGTGACAGTTAATCGCGAATGTCAATAAAATTATTCAATTGTAGGTTATTATGGATCACTATGCAGAAAAATTTCGTGTGCAACACGTGTTGAAAGTGTCTTTTTTCCATGAATTTGCTTGATTAACTCGGGCTTCGCCCTCATTAATCAAACTGCAAATTCATGAAAATAAGTATCACTTTCAAAACTAGTTGTACAAGCACGATACACTTACAACGGTATGCTCTTGCGCATCTAGAGTGACGTCACGTGCGAACAAAACCACAGAATATAGAGCAAAATTTCGCTTCTTAGATCGACAAATCACACTGATTTTGTGTAGAGATCGTCGCGGCGGGTATTTCCTGTGATTTGGTGATCGTATGAAATAAACTCGAATCAAAAATATTGGCCCTAAACATGAAGTGCGGCTTTTTCAGTAAATATTATGTAATTAATGCCTTATTAAAAGATGGAATTTCTCTTCCGTTTCCATTTTATTTTGATTTTCATTATTACGTGGTAGTTTTAAAGTAGGTAAAGCATCAGGTTTCAAATGTCCGCTGTTTTTAAAAGTAGGTTTAATTAAGAAATCGTTCCCTTAGCGGTGCTTCAAAACGGCTGGCTTCAACATGTTCAGAGCAAATACAGGCTATGGAATTAAACAGCAATGGAAAGACTTAAATACACCACTTAATATTAATGTAACACCATTTTTCAAGTTAATTTTGTCGTTACGACGACTTGCAACAATCCATTTTTGAGAAAAGTTTTCAATTTTCCGAAATCGAAAGTATTTTATTTCCGTTCGTTTTGTTTTTCTATTAGAATTGCCCCATTGAGCCACTACAGAACCTGGCATTTTGGAAATTTCACTAATGATTAATTAGCTATCAACAAATTAACGCTAAACCTCGTAGATACAAGATACTTATAAGTTGCAAAACTGTCACGCGTGACATGTGTACCACTAGTTCGGTCCTGGCGTAAACATTTGAATTTTGGCGCCACATGTTCGCAGGTGACGTAATGCGCAGTAGAAAACGCGTTTGAGAAAAATAATGAGCATACCGTGTGTAAGTGTATCGTGTGTACAAGTAACTATTTCCCTTCTAATGAAACAAACGAAGGAAATAAAAATTATAGTTCAATCAATTCAAACATTTATTGACGCCAACTGGCAACAATTACTACAAAATACAAAACCAAATCTAAAACTGATGCATTTTTTCCCTTTTTCGTAAAACCATTCTCTTCGATTTCTTTCCGCTTCACCCCTCTTCCAGCACTTCACTCCTGCTTTCCCATTTTCTTTCCATTCCCATGCGCTCGACATGTTCCTCTCCTCACACTCGGAATCATCTTTCCACCTCTGTTGCCATTATTATAGTGTGGTCCGCGTAATTCGGGGGCCATGTTTTCCTTCTTCCCATTATGATCCCTCCACTTTGACCTTGTCTTAATATTTTTTCCATATCCCTAAATAAAGTTCGACTAAGAGAACATCCCTGTCTCAGTCGTTTATTTGTCCAGAACACCTTAGAGTCCTTCCCTCCTGCCCTTACCCTCATTATTGTCTCTTCATATAACCCCTAGGTTCTTCCCTCTAGCTTCTTCCCTATTTTCCCATTTTCTATCATTTTCCATACTTTTTGTCTTGCCACACAGCCGCCTTAAATCAATCAAAAATACTATCACCTTTCCGGTTATTTTTTCCACCAACCTGTGTGGGTGTAGAATTGCTTTTATTTTGCATTTATTCATGTGCTATGGAGTTACCTTTTTAGTTTTTGTTGACGTGGGAAATCGTACTTAATTTGAACTTCCAAAGGCGACTCGATCGCCACTCATTTTTGATCGCCCGTTTATGAATATATCTAGCTTAAGCCGGTTCTACACCTTGTATCCCCGCCCCTGCCCTTTGTGAATCACATTTGTGTTTCTCTTCTTCTATTTCTCTTACCTTTGCATATATTCTATACCAATCCATATCTTGTTAAATAGTTTCCTTATCTTTTCCTTCATTATTAATCTGTGGCGAAATTCCTCATTTTCTAATTCATCCTTCCTTGCCGCTTTCCCTTTCTTCACTTTCTTTAACTTCTGCTCAATCCCTTCTCTTGATACCTCGTCTCCTTCAACCTCCTTTCTTACTACTTCCTCTATCACCTCCTCTTTCTCCTGCTTTCACTGTGGTACCTTAATAAAGTTCCCTATGTGTATGCCTCTTCCATTTGTTCTGTTTTTCCCTTTTCCTCTGTTTATCGTCTTCCAAAAGTACTTCTCTGTTTTTATTCGTATTTTTTCTGTCTCTGCATCTTTTTCTCTTTACATTTTCTTTTGTACTTTTTTTTCTGTTCTCCCAGCTCCTCCTTAATTTCTGATATTCTTCTTTTTCCATCATTATTCTACACATGTTGCTTTTTGTGTAGACTCCCAGCTGTTCCATCACTCCTTTCTATTATCTCTCCCCTCCTCTTGATTTACCTGTTTCCACGTTATTGCTTTATTAATACTTTTCTCTCGACTTTCCTTCATATGTTTACACTGTTTCTCTATACTCACTGGTATTTCTTCTTGTTTTTGCTTCTGTAGTCTCCTTCTATACGACTCTACGGGTCTCTTGTCCATAACTGTGTTTCCCTTCGTCTTGATTTTTTTATCTTTTCCTTAAGACTTATTTCCATTGATTGGTGATTCAATTCAAACCTTGCTCCTACCTTAAATTATTCTATTCCTCCCAGTATTTTTTCATTTACTGTTGTGTAATCAATTACCGACTTCTCTTTGTTGAGCCTCTTTATCCCTTGATTTTCTGTCTTGTGTTCCTCTTCCCGTTTCGACCCACTTCCCTTTATCCTCTGTTTTCGCATTAATATCTCCCCCAAATTTGCCCCTACTCTTCCGTTTCATCCACCATATCCTCTATTTTATTTTTCAAGTTTGTCATTCCTTCTCTGTTGTACATATTAAATTTATCACCTTAATTTTCTTTCCTTCC